ATAAAGCACAAAACAAACAATCAAAAGCAAACTTATTTAAAAGGATTATTTGAGGTTTAGATTTCATAATGTGCATGCTTTTTCTCACTAGTTTTGATTTTTTTACCTGCCTAATTATTTGAAGCACCATTTTTTCTTCTCCATTTCAATAACAAGGTCCTCTTTTGCATGCTATTTTTGTTCATAGAAGTCTCAAGCATCAGGGATCTGGTTAACCCCTTCAGTGGGCAGCACAGTCTTATTAGGGCAGAAGGAAGGCCTGACTGGCTTCAGGAGAGGAGAAGACGCTTTAGCACTTTAACACAGCAGGCACTGGGTATGAGTGATGATCCAGTCCAACTGGGCATTCAGAGGAGGGGAGGGAGACCCTGTCAAAGAGACCACCTCTACTCTAAGCTATGGTTCTCACACTCAGGACTCCCTGCTTTGAGGACACAGGGCATCTTTTATTTTTGCATTTGTCCACTCATCAAACACTCACTGGGCACTGGGCAAGATGCTCTACACATTCCAGGCCATGTGCTAGGCCCTCGAGGATACAGACGCACAGTGGGTGGCTTTTCTGGGTCACAGCATCCTACATGGCTTGTATGCATTCTCTCTTAACCCTCACAGCAATGCTCCTCTGTTGCTTCCCCCACGATAGCTCTGGTCGTATACTACTGCAACTGTCAACGGTCTGTCATATTCATTTGTGACTGAGAGACTGGGTATAATGGAAAGGGAAGTAGGCTCTGAAGTTAGATTGGTTTTTATTCAAATAATAGGGTCCCCATTGTAATGTTTTCTTTAGAGGCAGGATCTCTTTCTGTCACCCAGGCTGGAGTGCAGTGGCACCATTGTAGCTCACTGCAGCTTTGAACTCAGGGGTGCAGGCAATCCTCCTACCTTGGCTTCCCAAGTAGCTGGGACTATAGGCAAGTGCCATCATGCCTGATGAATTTTTAAATTTTGTGTAGAGATGGGGTCTTCTTGCTACATTGCCCAGGCTAGTCTTGAACTCCTAGCCCCAAGCAGTCCTCCCATCTCAGCCTCCCAAAGTGCTGGGATTATAGGCATGAGCCACTGCTACTGGCCCCCACTGTTACACTTGTCATGTCTGTGTAATTTTACCTCTTTGAGGCTCAGGTTTTTCATCTGTTGAATGGGAATAACAATGCTTATCTCACAGGACTGTGTGAGAAGCAAATGAGATAATTCACAGCAAGCATTTTTTATTTCTGTCCCATATAAATGTTCAGTAAATGGTCTCTCTTTTTTCCTTAAGAGGGTAGGATCTGTACATAATTTATCTTTATATCTCTGCAGGGCCCAATACCTGGTAACACATTCATGAGCTGTTAGTTGAGTGGATGAATGAATGAATGAGTACGTGTTCTCTGAGCAATGAGAACCTGGGCTCTACCATTCTTCACAGGTTTCTTTCTTTTCTGCCCCCCAGGAGTCACAGATGGGGAAAGTCGTCTCCCTCAGCATAACATCCATGCCTTCAGCCAGTACCTAACTGGATCTGAGAGCCTGAGAACCGCTTGGCTCCACACCATGGAGGGAAGAAAAGAAGACCCTCTGGCCTTTCTGCTGACACTCGGCAAAAGGAAGAATGACCACTCAACCACAGACTTCATCTTTTGCTACTCAGTAGCTTCCTGAGTGGTCCTAAGAAGGTGGCTGTCTCCAGATGCCCCTCTCCTTGAGAATCAGGGGCTTGGACCAGCCTTGGGAAGGAGGCAAAAACTGGGCCCTGGCTGGCACCAGCAGTGGCTCCTGAGACCATGGGCACAAAAGGCTTCCCATGCCTGGCTTTCATGCCCAGGCCCACTTCCTAGACTTCAGGCCCTGTTACTCCTTCCAGGAGTGATGAAAACTCCGAGGATGGAGGAAGGAGAGACTGGTGGTTGGACAGGAACCCTCTCTGCTCCAGTTCTATCCTCCCAGCAGGCTCTGTGAGTGCCTCCTGCTGCTGCCATCTTCTCTGACTCCTGCATCACGAGCCCCGCCCCCTCTGCATCACTGAACAAGAAGTGTTTGGTGTAGCCCTGGATGGGGGAACAGCACCCTGCGTGGGGGGTAGGAGGCTTGAGTTCAAATCTTGCCTTCCTTTGCTACTCTCTGGCTGTGGGAGTTAAGACAAGTCACTTTTGCTCTTGGAACCTCGGGGTAATCATCTGTAAGCTGGTGCTGTTGCTCACCCTGAAAGCTGAGCGTGAGAATCTGCAGTGATATGTGCACACATGAAGTAATCTCAAAATGCTGTTACTACTGGTGATGACCACTCTACCTAGTCAGGGACTGAGGTCTGGCGAAAGGCCTGGGAGATCCCAGCCCTGAATTTGCTTATCAGTATGTGCTAAAAATAAGTATGTTTCTCATTTCCATAGCTTGGTCAGCAGAATGCAGAGACCCTGGCAGACCCCAGAAAACCTCACCAGAGCTTGAACTTCGGACAGCCCCTGTGGATTCTGCTTACCAGGAGCAATTTAAGAGGCAAACAAAACATGAAAAACTACTCAGAATTAACAATGGGCCAGATGGTAATGCTAGTTTGCAGCAATAAAACATGAGAAATAGCTTCCCGCTGCTACTCCTGATCAATTTCAATATTTAATAATTCCACAGCCACCCCCACCCCCTCATCTGGCCCCCTCCACAGGATCCTGGATGACTCCCCACATTCAGCTCACAGAGCAAACACTTCGCTTTCTAAAGGCGTCAGCAGAAAGTGCCGCCGCTCCATTGTCACGTGAGCACCCTCAGCCCTCGAAATGATAATTAATCTGCCTACTTGTCCTGAAAACGAAGACGCTCCATCTCATGCCTCTCCTTGTTGCCAGGGAGGGCTATAAGGGAGCTGCCAACTGCAGAGATGCCACAGAAGCACTCACCTTGTTGAGTCAATGACTGCTGGTATTTCCTGGGTTTTGATTTTGACTTAAAGAAAGGGGAGCTGCAGGGAGCTTGGTGGTGGTCTCACTCTAGGACCAGTTAGGGGGAGAAGGCAACCTGAAGAGGCTCAGGAGGGTTGGTGTTTGAACCTTATCCACCAGCCATGCCTCTCGGGGCCTCAGTTTCCTCCTCTGAACAATGGAGCTAATCATATCTACCTCTAGGAGAATTCTAGCTGGTGCTGCATATGTAAAGTGCCTGCAGAGCGCTTTGCATATAAGGGCCAAGAACTGGCAGCCGGGAGCATCATTACTAAATAGGAAGCCAAGCTGCAAATGGTGCCTGAGCACCAGTGCCCTGCAGGAAGGACCTGCTGTGTCGCTGTGGTTGGGAAGTTTCTGGCCTACATGGGTGTAGGGCAGGATTGGCTAGGGGTGCAGCAGGTGCCAGACAGGTTGCCCCCAGGATTCTCCTCAAGGGGTGTCCACTAATAAGATAAACTGCCCCGCGCTATCAGCAAAGACTCCAAAGACCTCAGCACAACCCTGGAGAACAGGGATTGTTGGTGCCATTTTACAGATGAGGAACTGGAGATTAGGAGGTGGAATAGCTTTTCAAGCTGACAGGGGCAGGAAATGGCATAATCAATTCTAATCTGGATCTCCCAAATGACTTCATGTTGTCTCCACCAACTCACAGGAGCAAGCTGCCCACCCCTCATGACCCGGTGCCTCCCCTTTTGCAGGGAGGCAGCCAGAAGAGGATGTGGCATGGGTGTCAGGGTGCTGTGGCCTCACAGTTCATGTGTGATCTCTGTCACCTGAGCTGGAGTTTACTCGTCTGGGAAATGAGACTCATAATGCCTACTGCACTGATTCATGGGGACATTTAATGAGGAAATATGCATGAAAGGACCTTGGGGTTTGGTGATGAGCTGTACAAATGTCAGTTGTGCTTTTTATAATTGGTTTTAGAAAAATACCCTCTGGGCTGGATGCAGTGGCTCATGCCTATAATCGCAGCACTTTGGGAGGCCGAGGCAGGCAGATCACTTGAGTTCAGTAGTTCAAGACCAGCCTGGCCAACATGGTGAAATCCTGTCTCTACTAAAAAAATATAATATTAGCCGGGCATGGTGGCTCGCACCTGTAATCCCAGCTACTTGGAAGGCTGAGTTACGATAATTGCTTGAACCTGGGAGGCAGAGGTTGCAGTGAGCCGAGATCACACCGTTGCACCACTCCAGCCTGGGCAACAGAGCGAAACTCCATCAAAAAAAAAAAAAAAAAAAAGAGAGAGAGAGAGAGAGAAACACCCTCTGTGAGGAAAAAGTTTGGAAACTCATCTACTTAAAGGTGGGTTCTTCTCACAGAATGCTTTACCACAGAACCTAAAGGATCAAGATCAAATTTTCTTGTGTGGCATTCAAGGCTTCGACAGCTCCTGTAACCTCATCTCTAGCCCTTGTCACATCCCTTTTTGCTCCTCCCTGTCTGGGGTGCTTGGTATGGTGTAAAGCTCAACAGCCTCTCCTGCATCATGCTAAGGCCAGGTAATAGCCCTGCCAGAGTGTCTGTGCCAGCCCTGTTCACCATCTGATGCCACACACCCTTCTTGTGAAGTCTTCCTTGGTCCGCCCTGGATGAGGAGCTCCTCTGCTGGGTTCCTGGATAGCTTCTCTGAGCTGCTCTCCATCCCAGCCAGCATCCTACTACCTGGCATCATTTTCTCATCTGCCTCCCAATGCTATAGAGTTCCTTCGGGATGAGAACCAAGCACTACACCCTCCAGTCCACCCAGAGCTGGGCCCAGCATATGCTCAGGAAATGTGTGTGAAGGGTGAACGAATGAAAGAATAACTGAGCATTCCCCGTATGGATGGAATCTGAACCTTAAGCAAAGGCAAGGAATGGCTAGTGGTAGCACGAGAATTTGGAAGCAGACAGTGCTCCAGGATTTAAATTCAGCTCAATCCCTGGGATGATGTCTTGATCTGATGGGATCATCTTCTTCCCCCATCTGCACCCTATCTGGACCCTTGACAAGAAAGAATAGAAAATGTGCCACCCACACCTGTCAGGACCCCACAGGCCATGGCAGAGGAATTTGTCAGGTACCTGAGTCCCGCTGGTCCAGGGTCATGGAGTTCCACCTCCGTGTGATGTCAATGTAGAGGATGTCCACAGCGGCCATGGACAGGCTGCTGCTGCTGAGTTTGCAGTTCCTGCCAACAATGGGAAGTGACATGTCACTGCCAGCCTGAAGCCTGTTCTGTCCATCTCTCCTCCATTCCTGTTAGGGACTGATTGTTTATCATCCCCAAATCCGTAGTTTGAAATCCTATCCCTCCTATGTGACGGCATTAGGAGGTGGGGCCTCTGACAGGTGATTAGGTCATGACGGTGGCGCCCTTGGGAATGGGAATAGCGCTCTTCTAGGAAGAGAGACTAGAGAGCTTGCCTCCTCTCTGCTCTCCACCATGTGAACATAGAGGAAGGTGGCTGTCTTCAAACCAGGATGTGGGTCCTCACCAGACACCAGATCTACCAGCACCTTGATCTTGGTCTTCCCAGCCTCCAGAACCATGAGAAATAAGTTGTTGTTTAAGCCACCTAGGCTGTGGCATTTTTGTTCTAGCAGCCTGAACAGACTAAGACATTGTCTTTGCTTGGATTGTGTTCCGGGTCTAGAATGTCCTCCCTTACTACAGCTGGAACTACTGGAGGGTGTCTGGCACAGAGCGGTGGGAGAGAAGGCTGGTGATGTAAGCAAGGTTAGACCCTTGCGTTCCTGTAAGTTCAGCTATTTGGTTAGTTAGGGGTCTAATGGGCTGGAAAGAGCAAGAACTTTAGGAAAGCAAGTCTTTTTTTTTGGCATAGAGTCTTGCTCTGTTATCCAGGCTGGAGTGCAGTGGTGTAATCTTGGCTCACTGCCACCTCCACGTCTCAGGTTCAAGCAGCTCTCCTGAATAGCTGGAATTATAGGCACCACCACCATGCCTGGCTAATTTTTGTATTTTTAGTAGAGACAGGGTTTCTCCATCTTGGCCAGGCTGGACTCAAACTCCTGACCTCAGTTGATCCGCCTGCCTCAGCCTCCCAAAATGCTGGGATTACAGGTGTGAGCCACCGCGCCTAGCCAGGAGGGCAAGTCTTGAGTTGTAGCCTGGCTCTGCCACTTGGAAGCTGCATGGCCCTGGTTAAACTATTTCACCTTCTTGAATCTTGGTCTCCTCACCTATAAAACAGGTGGTCTTTATTACAGTCATTGTGTATCAGCCTGACCTTACATGGCAATGTGGGTCCCTGCCTGCTCCAAATGGGAATGAACTCCACACAAGAAATACCCCCATGCCCGTGTCCTCATCTTCCCATCTCTCAGTCACCAGGAGGGGGAGGGAAAGCTGGGCCTTCAGCGCTGCCCTCTCCAGCCAGTGTCCAGGTGGCTGACAGTGTCATGCTCAGATGACCCAAGGATGACGGCATGTTACCAGTACAGGCTGAAGCCATCACTGCTGTCCAGGAGCAATTCCCCCTGGAAAGGCTCACCAGATGAGTCCCTGAGGACAAATCTATGGACAAGGGGTCAAGGCTTCTGTACTTTACCCATCTTAATCTGTCACCAGAAGATTCTACATAAGCCCCAGATCAGCCACACTAAGCCCAAGATTTATAGAGCAGAACAGCTCAGGCTGGGTCCTCGCTCCTCTGTGTGGGCTGACGTGGCATCGCTGGGGAGGTTCCTTGTTCCTGACTTTAGGGGAGTCACCTGGAAATGACAGGAGGATGAGGGGGGCAGGCCTCTGAGCTTCAGATATTCTGCTTGCTTAGGAGCAGGGAGGCCACAGTCACCAACCAGGTTTTCAGTCTGATGTCAGCATTGGGACTCCCTGTCCAGGCCACAGCAGGGGTGTTTAGAATCCTCCTACCCCTCTCCAGCCTTTTTTTGGTCTGGACATGTGAAGGGGAGAGCAGCCTTGTATGCTGAAAAGAGCATGATTTAGGCACCAGACAGATGAGGATTTAAATCCTGACTGGCACGTTTTCTAGCTGTGTGACTGTGTGGAATTTACTTACAACTTCCATGCTTTTATTTCTTGGGCTCCAAAATGAAAATGATAATACCTGCCCACAAGATTTCTGGGGCAATGAGTACATGCCAAGAACACAGCATGGTGCTTGTCGCCTGGTAGGTCCACAGCAATTGTGAGTTCCCTTCCCCAACTCTCTCCCCCTTTTCCCTTTTCTTCTTCTAGAGCTAGAGCCATCCCACCCCAGAGGCTGCCTAGAGTGAAACTCTCAGTGAGTGACCCTGCCCATTCTGGAGAAATGGAATGCACCAGCCGGAATGTCTGCGTACAGGGCTTGGGCTCTCTGTTCAGACTGGAAGCAGTCCTTGGCTTGTCCGGGTGCACCCCTGCCCTGGGCTGGATTTGTCCAGGGAATCCTGAAAGCCAGGCCTCTGGGCCAGCTGTCAGGTTGGCTGAACTACATTCAATGCTGCTTTCAACTTTTCAAATGAATCCACATCCACTGCCTCAGCTAATGATGAAGTGGCTCTTTGATTTCCCATTTGTCATTATCCCCTGTGTGAATAGCTCTGTTAGGGACCAGACAGGGGAGGGGTTGATGGGCAAGCAGGATTTGGGCATCAGAGGCCCCTCTCCAAACCCAAGCACACCCCTAATGATGGTGGCTGGGCGTGTGCCCCGCATGGTGCCCAGACAAGGCTGGTGCTCCTTGTATGCCAGCACACTTTCTCACCCCCTTCCTCCCTCCTCCCTCCTCCCTTCCTTTCTTCCTGCCTGTATATCCCAGGCCATCAATGCACATCCTGCTTCCTCCTGGGCTCCTGCTCCATATTTCAATCACAAGTCACGGCAGCAGACTTCAAAGCACATCACCACACAGTTATTGAGCCCCAGTAACCACTTGTCAATGGACGCCGAGATTTTCATGTCACTTGTCACCAAGACGGCTACCTAGTGGGTTCTGTGGGGCATGATGTCCCAGTCTCTCCCAAGGTATTCCAGCAGCCTGCATTGCTAATTTACAAGGCTTCATTAGGAATGGCCACAGTGTCCTCTAATTATCATATCAGTGTCCTCTAGGCTACCTGCTCTTCCACAAGACAGGAGGAAGCACTGCCTGGCTTGCTCTGTGGGTTAATGGAGTATTAAAAGGGGAACCAAACTGACCACTGGTATATAGTTATTTTTTTTTTCTGACAGGCAGAAAATAGAAGTGTCAAACCTTTAGCAGGAGCCGTAATTTACCAAAGAAATTCTCCATTTATTCCCTTTCCAAGGTAACTCTTTCTCCTTAGCGATGCCTGCAAATAGAGTTGACTGCAACGTCTGCTACTGGGACAGAGGAGGGATCCATGCTGGCTGTGGTAGGCAGGAAATGCAAATGCCTTTGAAGAATTTTGATACTGTAGGCATTTCTTGGGCACCATCTATATGCTCATTAGCTCTCTGGATTTTAACCATTCTTTAAAGGTGGTATTCCTAGTCCCATTTTGATGAAGGGTATGCTGAGGCTCAAGAGATGGGACGTGACTTGCCCAAGATCACATGGCTGGAATTCACATCTAGTTCTTCCTTGGAAGGTGGAGCAGTGGGTTTGGGAGCTGTGGGGAGGTGGCCCAGTCCAGGGTTGCAGGAGGAATTCAAGAATCAAGAAACCAGGTCTCAGGCCAGGGACCAGTAGGGTTGGGGCCTCTAAAGCACTCCTGTTGCAAGTTTTGGGATATGGGGCTTGGGCTGAGAGTCCCAGGGCACTTGGATTTGCCCTGTGGTTACCAAACATTCTCAATAAACTCAAACAGGAAATGAATGACTTCAACAATCAAGATATCAAGACTTTGGAATGAATTTTTCATCCCATCTATCCACTCAATGTGAATGTATTTGTGCCCTCTCTGTGGAGGCAGTATTCTGAGCTCCCACAGCAGTGAAGAGCTGAATGGGCCTTGGATACCCCTCTCAGAGACTGTACGTGATCTCAGAGTCTGGGGTAAAAATGTGAATCCTTGGTGGCTCCTAATCATTGAGAACAGTTTTCCCTTATGCCTGGGGATGCAGTTCATCAAATGACCGATAAATTCTTTAGTGGAAGAAAAGTCCAAGAAATAGGGTACCATGAGAAGCCAGAAAAGTTTCTAGGAAAGGATGGGTTAGAAATGTGCATGGAAAAGACTAGCTTTGGAGTCAAATGCACATGAGTTTGATCTTGGCTTTGCTGTATGACCTTTGTAAGTCATGGAGGCTGTCTACATTGACATTAGGAAAGATTTATACAATGAGAATGAGGCCACTCACCATACAAGGCTCTTTCAAGGACTAGCTCAGTGCCTGGCACACATGGGGAAGTGGCAAATGGCAGTTCCCATCCTTCCTCTCTGATGCAGAACCAGTTTCAAGAAATAGTATGGGCTTTTTTTTTCCAGAATCAAAGGAATTTGGGCACATATGATGGGAGCGACTCACAAATCATTTAAGTTCATTAGGAGTCCAAGTATAGAAAGATTTGAAATGATCATTCTCATTTCCTCTTAACAACTACTGACATCTCATGGGAAATTTAGGAACCAACTTTTTCCACTCCATAAAATCCTATTTATAGAATTTCTTTTGTGTTCCTCCTTCTCTGTTCAGAAAAGAAGCTTCTTCTTTTTTTATTTTTATTTTTCTGGAAAGGGTTCTATAACATGAAAGCTAACAAATGATCAATATTTATTTTTTTAAAACCATACTACATAAACATTTGGCAGAGGAGTGGCAAGAAGACTACTCCGGTTTAAAATGTATGGCTTCGAAAGGCCATTTATATCCAAAGCATGCAATATTGCTGGAAAGGGATCATCACAGAAGTGGGGGAGATTATCAAATCACTGAGGAGTTAATGACAGAAGGGGAAGCTAGGCCTCTTACGCTCCTATTCTAGAACATTCTAACACACCATGTTGCCTCTCAGAGACTAAAACCCCTGCAGCTACCCTTTATGAAGCATGTTAATATCTCCTTGTGATAAAAGGGAGTGGAAGGGGAAAGGGAAAAGGAAGAAAAACCTTTCCCTCATTCAGGAGACCCAGGATCGGAAGCCACCCAGTGGGAGAACCTCACAGGAAGCAAATGCTCGTGGTATAGAAAAGTGGCTGCATTTCCTAGAAATAAAGCTGGTTTGGCAAACTGCTTAATTTCTGGGCTGCCATCATGAAAAA